GATATCCCCTCCCTCCTCAGTGACATTGAGTCATGTGGGGAGGGCCATGTTGGTGACATGTATTCCCACAATGATTTGAACCTGCTCAGCTCCTCCAAAGATCCCATCTCCACCACCTACAGATGTCTGCTGCCGGTCGGTGGCCTGGCAGGACTGGGCGAGGATCCTGAGAGCTCGGGTGCAGGAATCCTTCTTGCTGTTGAGAAACAGCGACTGGACGTGGAAAAGCAGCGTCTGGCTGTGGAGACGGAGCGCCTCGCTGTGGAGAAGGAGCGTCTACAGGTGGAGAAGGAGCGGCTGCGTCAGGTGGAGGTGGAACGAGAACGTCTGTGTTTGGAGAGGGAGCGGCTCCAGGTGGAGAGGCTGAGGATCCTGCTCGTCAGCCAATCAGAGCACACAGATTCCTCTTTTAACCCTCCGCCACAGGAAGATCCTCCGTCTTCGTCCACGTCCTTATCCTGCACTCATGACGAACAGCAGGAGATCAGCTGGACGTCAGTGAATCTGGAGGCAGCAAGGATGAGTCTGGAGAGGGAGAGGCTGCAGCTGGAGAAGGAGAGGCTCCTGTCCTTTAAGTTTGAGGCCGGCATGCTGCAGATGGAAAAGGAGCGCCTGCAAGTGGAAAAAGACAGAATGCAAATGCACAAAGGCCACCAGCCTGTAAAAGCCCGACAGCGTCCTTGAAGATTCTTGTAATTCTACAAACTGAATCAAAGAAAACTGGACTGCTTTTGCTTGAACTGTTAGAATTCGTCACCCATTTGTCTAAATCAGCAAAAGCTCCCTGAACGAGGAGCAAAGTGTTCAAGAATGAAACAGTGCACAGCTGTTCATCTACTGAGAGGTTTGAATATGTCTATATGTCACTGAAAAGTGTTTGAGTCAAAGCATCATTCCTGAGGCTGCTTGTGGTTAAACATTGAAGTTCCGTCAGTTTCATTGTAGGAATAACTCGGATGTTGTTTCGGTCCTCATCGGTGAACCCACAAAAACTGAAACTAAAGGCAGCTATAAGATGAATTCAACTGTAAATATTTATTCTTACACTTTTTTCCTGTTTTATAGCATTGGTTAGGCCTGTCATTTTTCTCAGTGTGAAAAACAGCTTCATTTAAATAATTTAATTAAAAAAAAACTTCCCCTTTTGTTGATAACTGTTGATTGCTGGACTTCATGTGAAAACAAGCAGTTTGATACAATTAGATACACATTTGTTATTTTCCCTGGTACAAACCTTTTTTCTCTCAATCTTTAAAGTATAATTATAAAACTGTTAACACATTTTTACTTATTTTACTTTTAACTTCCTGGTATTTCTCCAAACTGGGGTTGTCCAAAGAGCTATATCTGCAACAGGTAAGACAATTGTTCATTACTTTTCTACAGAACCCCACTTCAAAAGTTCTGAACTGTCACTTTAAAAGCTTTTAACTTTGTGTCTTAAATATAGGAACAGATCTTTGCTGTCTTTTGTGTTTAGCCTTGATTTTTAACATTTTCAGGGCATTTCTCTTGTCGTCCCTTCAAGATGATTTGAAAGCAATAATAGCTGTCACACAACAAGTGTTTGGTTTAAATTTTGATGCTTCTAACATAATTTCTACATCATTAAAGGATTGTTTGGGGGTTATTGTAACTCAAACTCAGTGTTTTTGTAATAATTGCGTAACAAAGCTGTAAATATTCCACATCTTTGTTCACAACAAAATCCAGCCATCAGTT